CCCTCACACCCCCCCCCCCCTTGGCAGTTCAACGGGCACCACATCATGGTCAACCGCGCCGCAGCACCCCGCGGCAAGGCCGCCAAGCAGGGCGAGCGCGGCCCAGGCGGCGGCGCAACGTACGACCCGGTGCGGTCGGTGTTCGTCGGCAATCTGGATTTCAAGGTGTGGCACGCACTCGGATTGCTTGTGGTCCCTGTGGGTGGGGCGGCGCCTTGAGGGTGCCACGGCGAGTGGAGCGGATCCGAGCCATGGCGACGGGCTGCAAGCCATGCTTGGGAGGCCGTAGGCGTGCAGGCGGGCGGCCCCTGCGGTTTATCAGCGGGCCCCGCGGCGGGGGTGGAACGCCGGCCGGAACGTTCTTAAGCCGTCCGGCCTCCAGCCCCCGCGGCCGCCACGTGCACCAGTGACGTTCATTTCACGAATCGCGGCCCTACCGCGCGTGCGGTCCCCCAGGTGGCGGAGGAGGAGCTGGTGGCGGCGTTCTCTCAGGGCCCAGAGCTGCAGGGCGCACTGGAGGCGGTGCGGGTCGTGCGGGACGCAAAAACCAACATCGGCAAGGTGCGCCCTGAAACCCTGAGACCCCAAGACCCTGAACTTTTGCACCCTTGCACATGGCGATTGACGGCTTGCATGCGCGTGCTTGTGTTAAGACAAGGGTGCGCACATGCGCGCGCATGCTTGCGCGTCTGCGCTCAGATGCGCGCGTGATGGAGGGCATGCAAATGCATCGCTTCGCCCGAGGTGACCCTGGCCGCTTCATTACACACGTTGAAGCGCTGGGTGACCCTGCAACCACACTCCTCCACGATCCCTTTCCTGGCGCTGCCTGCACAACTTCCAGGGCTTTGCATTTGTGCTGTTCAAGACCAAGGCTGCTGCCAGGGCAGCTCTTGCCCTGGACGGAACAAAGGTCGCAAAAAGGACGATCCGCGTCACCCGGGCAACCCAGGGCGGCGGCGGCATCGGCAAGGCGGGGCCAAAGGGAAAGGGCGGCAAGCCGGCAGCCGGCAGCGGCGGCGCGCGGCGCCTGCTGGGGGTGCAGCAGGGCGGCGTGGCCAAGAAGTCTGCGCAGGGGCGCCCGGCCAAGGCGGCGGTGGCGGCGGCCAGCGACTGGCAGGGGCTGCAGACCAAAGGGCGGGGCACCAAGGTGCGGGGCCCCAAGAGGAGCAAGCCCAGCGGCGGCGGCACGGGGGCGGCGGGCGGCGGCACGGGGCCCGGCACGGCGCCCAGGAAGGGTCCTGGCAAGGGCCCTGGCAAGGGCGCTGGCAAGCAGAAGCAGCAGGGGAAACGGCCTGCCGTGGCGGCGCGCAAGGCTGCGCAGAGGCAGCAGTCCGCCAACAGCAAACAGCGGTGACCCGAGGTGGCTCGAGCGTGCTTTCTTGTTGTGTAATCGCGCGCAATACCTGGAACAATATCAATCTAATGTTCAGACCCGGCAGGCGCAGCCGGCAAGCTGCAGAGAGTGCTGGGCAAGGTGCATGATGGCCCACCACAACCGAACCAACTGGCGAGGCCGCCGCGGGAGCCGCGGCCAGGACCGGGGCGCTGTGCTGCATCCGCTGCGGGTTTTGAGCATATCGCATCAAATCGACATCGCTTTCGGGACCGTTCTGCTCAACGCTCCTCTTTCGGATGATGAACATTTCCCTGCAGGCTTGAACAACTGACAACAGATGCATGCTGATGTTTTTCTCGGTCCACTGTCATTCAAAACGAGTCACAAGCATCCAATTTTGCAGTCGCTCCTCCCGGTCGTGGCGCGGTTCAACCGGACCTGAGCTCACAAGCCCGTGGACCGTGCCAAGTGCCGGCTCTGCGTGTCCTGTAGCATCTATCGTGGCTCCTGAGTGCTGCGTGCGCGCGGACGTTGGCAGCGGACTGACCGTTCCCTGTTCAGGAACTGCCCCCGCCCTGTGGGCGCCCCACGGGCCCCAGTGCCTCAAGAATTGATAGCTGTTCACGCATCGGAGGGCCGCTTATTGCTTGCTGTGCCACGCACTAGTGCAGCCGCCTCGCACGGCGGCCGCTGCTGCCGCCTCGTCACAATGCGCGGCGCATACAGAGGCGACGACAGCGACTCCAAGTCGTCCGGCACTGATGAGCGACACATGGGGTCTGCGATGCTGAAGCGCGCGACATGGTCCCCTGGTGCGCACACTGGCAGTGCCCGCGTTGTCGCCCGGCGGCGGTTGCTTGCTGTTGTTGCACCCGACGCGCCGCGCCCCGACCCCAGAGCACCCAAAACGTGCGCCCCGCCCGGGCCCCCAGCGCCCCAACCCTTGCCCCCCATCCCCGAGCCCAATCCTCTCCTGTCACCCCGCGTTTATGGGGCTTCTCAACCCTCTCCCCTTGTTTCGCCCCTTCCCTTCTGTTATCCGCACTCTGTCATCCGCAGAGGAGGACTCGCGCCTGCTGGAGCTGGTCCACCGGTACGGCGCCCAGAACTGGACCGTCATTGCGTCGCACATGGGCAACGGCCGCAACGGCAAGAGCTGCCGGCTGCGGTGGTTCAACCAGCTGGACCCGCGGGTCAACAAGGAGCCCTTCACAGAGGACGAGGTGTGAACACGCGCGCGTGGCTGGCTGGCTATGAAGGGGCGGCTCCTGGTGACCATTTCACTGATGCTGCCGCCCTGACAAGGGAGGCAGCAGAGTTTTGGTCTTCCGCCATGTAGCCTGTTGTGTTCCGCACTCCCAGGATGGCGTGCTGGGTATGCCATGTTGAGTGCACAACAGGCTTACGCGCTCAGCCGCCCATGCTTCAGCTGGGTACAGCACCCTGCCCGCCCTTCCCCATATCACCCACCCACCCCTGCACGCCGCCCTCCCTCGCGCGTCGTCGGCCCCTCCTTACGCCCTTTCCATCACCGCCCTCTCACTATTTGTGCTTTTGTGTTCCAGAAGCGGATTATAATTGAGAAGCATGCGGAGATGGGTAACAAATGGGCACTGATTGCGCGCTACCTGCCGGGCCGCACCGACAACGCCATCAAAAACTACTGGTGCGCTCCAGAGTCAATCAGGGGGCGCCTGTGATGTCCACTTGTGCCTGGGCAGAGCCTATTCGCCCAGCTCGCGCCCGCAGAGCCGGACCGCGTGCGCACAGCGCCAGCCAGGCTCGTCGCGGCGTGCACGCCTTGCCGCGCGCCAACACCGGTACCACTGCGCCCGATGTTCCAGGCTGCTGGCCTGTACGGTGTGGTGTAATGACCTCTCATCCACCCCCGCCCTCAAATGTACCCACCTGGTTCTGCTCGCCACCCCCAAAACCCAGGAACGGCTACCTAAAGCGCACCTCCGACCGCGCTGCTCCGCCGCAGAAGCGCATGCGCGCTGCGGACCAGGGTCCGCTCGGGCTGCTGCCGCAGCAGGTGCGCCACCAACTGCACGAGCTGATCGGCCTGCCCGCGATGGGCCTGCCCGCGGCTGACCCCGGCGCCGACGCCGACGCGGCGGCCGCGGCCGCGGCCGCCAACC